AAATTGAAGTTACAATTAAAATTTTCCATAAAATCTGATTTAGAAGTCAAGAAAAACTGATAAATTCTAAAAAATTAGAGCAATTTGTTTTGAAAAAGACATTTAGCAGATGAGAACTGGGATCTTATCTTTATACGAGTGAAGCGATCACCTTGTTGTTCTCAAATAATCAGTAAAACAGAATTTCATCCAGAGATCTACTGGTAATGTCTGTTCCAGTGCATATCATCATTAGAAGAATTATGTCTTCAGCACAGTGCCCCTGTAGATCGTGTCCTGGCCCCCATTGGCCCCTGTCTAGAACCACCCATGCAAGTAAACAAGACTATGGCTGTGTGTGAACGTGCACCCTATCCACTATATAGGGCCCTATATAGGGGTTTTAAAGGAAAAATCCGCTCATATTCAGAATTCAAATTTCTAAAAGTACGTTAAATTTGAAATTATTCCATCCTGTTCAATAAATGATCAGCGTTTTTAATTCAGAGTAATTTTCATTTCAATGTGTTACAAGCAACCCGCTGGACTTTGTTTCCAAATTTGAAGACGTTTCTCTTCCATCCAGGAAGATTTTTCAATTCAAAATGTCAGAAATAGCGTTTAGTTCCAGGTTTTATCCAGCAGCCCAGAAAGCCCTTCCTATACAGTCTTGATGTTATATCTTGAAATTACACATAAGATGTAACTACCACAACAGTGTAATCAATACGTGTATATTACATGTACATCATTTAATTTAGCACCTTTTGGCACATAATCAGATTGTGTGTCTGTGTGTAATATTCCTAATATTTGACTACCGTATTATTCTGCTTCATTAACACATTAATTCTATAGTGATTGATTTGTATAACATGTTATATTACACGATTTATAGACTTAATTGACTTCATAATGACTATTTAATGCGATGGGTCTATTTATTATTACAAGTTAAAGTTAGTTGGATGAAGAAGTCAACTACGCTAGGTGGGGGGGGGGGCTTTTCTAGTGTTGGACCTCATAAATGATGTTAACAACATGCCAGGGCTCGGCAGTACTGCGTTAGCAGAATATATCAATGTTGACGTGTTGTAAGTGCATTTTTATGTTAAATATTAT